AAATATAAGCATCACCATCTTTTAATATAATTTAGATAGTAATGAAATATAAGCATAACCATCTTTTAATATAATTTAGATAGTAATGAAATATAAGCATAACCATCTTTTAATATAATTTAGATAGTAATGAAATATAAGCATAACCATCTTTTTAATATAATTTAGATAGTAATGAAATATAAACATCACCATCTTTTTAATATAATTTAGATAGTAATGAAATATAAGCATAACCATCTTTTAATATAATTTAGATAGTAATGAAATATAAGCATAACCATCTTTTAATATAATTTAGATAGTAATGAAATATAATCATAACCATCTTTTAATATAATTTAGATAGTAATGAAATATAAGCATAACTATCTTTTAATATAATTTAGATAGTAATGAAATATAAGCATAACCATCTTTTAATATAATTTAGATAGTAATAAAATATAAACATAACCATCTTTTAAAATAAATTTATTATGATCATTATTCATTACAATGTTGGCTTTTTGCCCCATAGAGTTTCAGATAATGCGTGAAAATGTCACTAATCAATAAACCTATAAACATCTGGTTATATTCTCTAGACATTTTCGAAAGAAAAGGCTTAAAGCTTAAGGTTTGGGGCAGATTTTTTCAGGGCCAGTGGAGTTACTGCAAAAATGTTTTTTTATCTAGTTATTATAGAGGCTATGTTGTTGTCACAGACTAGTTATACATAATCAGTCCTGGAGTATGTTTTTATATTATTCCATACAATATAAAGTACAATGTAGAAGTAAGTTTAACCAATCATGGAGTATGTTTTTTATATTATTCTATATGATATCAAGTACAATGTAGAAGTAAGTTTAATCAATCATGGAGTATGTTTTTATATTATTCTATGTGATATAAAGTACAATGTAAAAGGAAGTTTATAAGACATATTTCATTTTCTTATGTTAATATAATCATTAATATAACACTAAAATTTGTAAGTATCAGTATTGATCTTTTCATGATGTCTGAAAAACACGTAGGTTCAATAAGTTTTGATAAAAGAGGATAAAAACCCTATAACCCAAGCACTTTTGAAAGGTAGACCTTTCTTCTTCAGGAGCAGAGTTTGCCTTTGAAGAAGAAAGGTCTACCTTTCAAAAGTACCTGGTTTATAGAGTTTTTATCAGTTTATTGATGTTGGTATTGTTTATCAAAAAGTAGTTAGTATACTTACATTTGTAATTGACACAGTTAAAATACTGATTCTTGGAAAGTAAGAGGGGTGGTGTTATGAACATAACATGCACACAGGTAGAAAAGGTAGACTTGTAGTTTATTTAGCACCAAAGAATAAAGTTACACAAATTATAAATGGCGTATAACACAAAGTAACACCTTATTCAACATTAAAGAATCCAGTTTTGCAATTATAAATTGGAAAGATAATGCAATATAAAAAAACGACAACAATAAATTTACACTTTATTTAACACAAAAGTAGCACAGGAGCTGATGGCATGTGCTGCCAGCCAGTTGGACTCCCTCTGGTTGGCAGTTGAAATTATGGACTGTGGCAGAAATCTTTGGCATAACTCGAAAATAAAGAAACAAATATATTGTGAGCAAATTTGGTGGTAATTGGAATAGAACCTGAGGCATTTAAATCATGAGACAAATCCCCTCCCCCATCCCAGTCACTTAACTTGAATTAATTAAAAACACTTATGCTAATAATTGGGTTTTGATACTCATGGTGGGCAGAGCTTCGATAGCTTATTATGTAGCTTTGAGCCTAACAACAAACATAACTTCAGTATTTTGATCAGTAGTTGTATTAATCAAAAATAGTAATAATCAGGAACCATAATTTAAATTAGTTGCTTATTTCTGTGAGCCATGACACTAATTGATTAAGCTAAACAAACTTGAATTAAGTAAAAATTAATAATATTTGGAAACACAAGTTGGGTATTTTTATTACATTAATTGATTTAATTGGTGCTCACAGTTAATTGAAGCTAATCACCCAAGCTTGACTTGTATATGTATGTACTTTGTTTTTAGATATTCCTGTGGTTATGATCATCATTTCTTTTAGGCAGTGACATCAGGAACCATTTCTAAAGGTCATTTGTACAAAAGTGTAGAAAAAAATTAATGTTATGTTCTTGTAACTTAGTTTTGTTTTTTAACAAAGCCTACTTTGATAATTTTGTAACAGTAATTGATTAACCTTAAAATCTGTGATTTTTCATAACTTACTTTCATATTTACTTTTGTACATTGATTGTAGGGTAACTTGAAAAACTGACTTATATTATTACATGAGCTATTACCATATATATGGTAAAAGACTTAATGGGTAGCATGTTGAGTGATACATGCTAATGAATGCTATTGTCTTTATTCCAAGAATTTTTAAACTCCCAGTGTGTGCTAATGTATTAAAAGATTTTAAAAAGCCAAATAGGTGGTGAAAATGTTACAATTTTAAGTTTGTTTTGTTGTAGAGAGGAAGGAATTAAAAGCTCTATGATTTGAATGTTATGTCAGTTGAGTGAATCCTGCCCTGAGAGCAAAACTAGATTAGTAATTATAGAACTTTTACATAAATTCCAAATTTAGTTAAAAGCTATTATTGATATATGCAAATATAATTGGCATCAGAACATAGTAATTAATGTTATGTGTGTTTTAATGTCTTACTTTCAAAAGGAAGTATTTTTATTATTCTCAATCTTCATCTCTGTGTATGATGTAATCCTTCTTTGTTCTGAATATCTGAAATGTGTTTCTCTTATTTATTTTATAAATTTTGTAGTCTAATGAAAATTTTATACCTTATAAAGCAATCAAACCTAAGAAGAGGGTGTTCTGTAAATATTTAAAAGGTATTGATGTGTGTTTTATTTCATCAGGTACTACATTTGTAGTCAGATAGTAAGGGTACACAGAATAAGATTTCTAATGGTGTCATGGCATCATATCTGCAAATGAAAGATTTCAGCAACACTATGTTTGGTGAATTGTAAGGCTTAGCTAAACAGAATTTTCACAACTTTTAAAATATCAAGTATTTTTATTTATATACATGTCAGGCCTGCGTGTTGGAGTTGATGCTTGTTTTTCTGTTTGGTTGACTAAAAAGTAAAATGCTTTATATAAAGAGACAGTTTTACAGTAAGAGAATAAAATTTTGTGAAACACTTAATTTTGTACTTTCAGTCTTTCCATAAATGTGTTTTGACTGTATAATTTGAAAGAAAGAACTGACTTTGTCTCAGGTACTCTCTTGCACTGGTTGATGCTGTACTTTGTACTTTACAGTCAGTTTATAAACAATTAGTACTTTCTGGACCCTTTCTCAAAGTTTAGGTTTTTTTTATGACTTAAAATTAAGTGTGCAATCATTTTTAATTTTGTAAATTTACCCTGTAATGTTTTCAATTGTATATTCTGTGGTTTTCATACAAATCATGAAATTTCTTAAATTTCTTCCTGTCATGAATATTTTGCTGGTGTATTAACTTTGAAAGAGAGCCTATGGGAGACTTAGAAAATGTTTCATTTTCTTTAATTTATTCATGCCAGTCTGTCATATTCTGTTAAAATTGTGACATAGCATGTGAAAAATGAAGCGTGGAATTTCTAGAATTTCTTCAATCTGAATGGCTGTTATTTTTTCAACAGTAGTAAAATACATTTTAACTAAAATAATTTTATGTTAAATATAACATTTTTGTTCCTTTTTCATTCTTTTCCCCTCCAGTGGCTCAGCAGTAATTTTGCTGCTAACTATAACTTTCCTTTTAAATTTATAAACAATTTTTGGGGAAGAAAACTGTTAAATGTAAAAAAAAAATATTTTTAATAATATGAAGAAAATTTTGAACAACATATATTTTTTTAGATTTTGAAAGTGTTTGATGACACTTTTAACAAACAATGTCCATGTAGTTAATAATTATTGATTAAACGGCTTTGTATATGTTGTAGAACTTGTTTAGAAAACTATGAAAAGTTCTGGTATATGTAGATTATTCAGTGATGTAATTGTAATATCAGATGCAATATTTGTTCCAGGAGAAGCCAAGGATGTTGATTATAAGGAAGAGATGGATCAACCTCCAGAAGATTTTCAAGTTTCACCATCACGAGGCCAGTTTCCAAACTTTCCAGACTATGAAAGTCCTTTATCTGTTTGTGATGAAACTTCAGCAAAATGCTTAAACCAAAAAGCAGGTAATTTTTTTAACGTCTCTTAAACTAGATTCAAGTTACTTTCTGGCATAAATTTAAAAAGAAATATATGTTTGAGATCTATGACAAAAAAAAAATCAACTAAAAATATGTGTGTATACATCTCATATATTTTTTTGTGATACCAAACAAAATGGTTGTCTTCTTATTTCTTATAACTTCTCACTGGCTGATGGGGTAGGAGACGGTTTCCAAATATGTTTCTATAGGATAAGGACAGGAAATATAATGTTATACTGCACTTTAAAATCAAACACAATCCTTGGATTATCTATGTCAATAAGTATTCCAAATAAAAAATAAACCCAGAGAAACCCCAATTTGTGCACTTATGTTTGTCACACCTTAAAAAGGTCAGACACAGGATCAAACTGGAACAAGTTTCATTAGACAGCCATTGCTATATACATCCTTTACATAAGCCAAAGGATTAGTACATGTTTACAATCTTTTTACATCCACTTTGCAGGATGTCATTAACTACATACAGAACACTTACATGAAAGTTTAGAAAAATTGCATAAACTTACCATGGTACAGATATATTCTAAACTAGTTATGGAAGGGTTAAACAATCAGTTATTAGAACTACGACACTTCAAGTAATGTGGCTAGCTGGTTTAGATTCTTTGGGAATGTTTTTTGCTCACCACTAGCCTTGATACTCCCTCATGTTTAATGTGGTATAGCTGTGCTGTAGCATTCCAAAAGCATGTGACAAATCTCCACCAATAGAAGCATGACACACTCTCCTGATGCAGCTGTCTTCCCCTGGATTACAAAGTATAACCTCACTCCTTGATTTGGCACTCAAGTGATTAGACTTTTTGCTCACTGCATTTGAGTTTTCAAATTTTGTTACTTTGTACTTTGTTTCTGCTCTTAATTTTTGCACTAAAATTTGCAATTTCGATAATCTAACAGCAGTTCAGTATGAATTGACTTTGTTTGTGAAAATGTTTTTTTCTCTCTCTTTCGTCAACAACTTGTTTGCCACCAAGACTTTTTGTCTTGGTGTATTTATCCATTCAAAATTTAGTGATGAATTTGCAGTTTATTGTCATGACAACTTCAACTGCTATCACTGCCATAGTTCAACTACCTGCTTCTGTGACCACAGTTGTGATGTTATTGACAGAGGAGGTTTTGGCACTCACCCACCAGAAAATAGTCATTCATCAGGCTGGGGGCTCTCCTGACTCAAACCAGTCCTACTCTACACTGAGGATGCTGGACAGGAGGATGAAGACATTGACAGTCTTTTCCCTCCTCCTTCAGTCTCTTTTAGCTGCAGTTGATGCACCTAGACCTTCATCAGATATTCTGAACTTGGTATGTTATATTTTGTCTTTATCCCCAGTGTCATATGACCCATCTCTTCCTTCTCTTCCATTCACCTTTTGTCCAAGGCTATCCTGTTCTTGATTGTTTTCCATATTGGCACGTTTGTTTTTCTTGGCCCTGTCCCTTCACACATGGCTCCTGTGTTGTTGGGATCTGTTGGGAAAAGATCATTTTCTGATGTGAGTACATTTGCCTCTCATGTTGCTTAGAGATTTGCACATGGCACCCATTTTGTGTTAGTCCCTTTTTTGGGGGGGTATCCCCGAGTCCTTGGAGTCTTGTGTGGATTCAGCATGTTTCCATTCTTCCCTATCCTCCCTGGCTACTCACCTGTTTTAATCCTCCCCTGCTTCTATACCTGTATACCATCCCTCCTTTCCTGCAACCTTATCTGTTCCTTTTGCTCAGGTTTTGGATGCAAATCATCATAGTATCACTGCTTACCCATCTGCCACCAGTGGTGTTGGCACAAGACTGGTAGGGGCCGAGCTGTACAATTCTGTCCATGTGTGAAGAACCTTCACTACAGATTCGTGGGCTTTGTTTTCATCATTACATGGATAACTGGCTTCTTCGTTAACAGTTTCTTCACAGAGAAGCTGTACAGGTGAGTTGGCTGATCAAGCTAGAGAAGTTCGTCCTGTCACTGACACAATATCTTTTCATTATGTGGTCCTTTTCAACTCCTACCTCAATTGTGCCGAGCCTTCTCCAGTTTGGTTACAGTCTATGGAGCTGGCAGTTGAGAAAGCACAATCCTCTCCTCTCTACCGTGTGGGAGATTATTGCTTTTGGGGACTTAATCATTCTTGGAAGCCCTTATTCCTCTGGGTTGAGCCCACATGAGAGCTCTTCAGTGGGCTTTGTAGAATCAGTGGAACCTTGCCAGGGATACCCTGGATTCCCCTATTGACCTTCCTCCCTCTCTTATAAACAATTTTGCTTCATGGCTAAACAGAGACAACACCATGACTGGAGTTTCTCTTCCACCTCCCAGACCAGACTTACACCTTTTAACAGATGCCTCACTGACAGGTACTCTCAGTTTGGTTTGCCCCAATTGGATGTATTTGTCACCCATCGGAACACCAACTCCCTCTCTTTTGGTCATTAGTTCTACATACCTCAGCACTGCCAGTAGATCCTTTCAGCCAGTATTGGAAGGATCATTACATTTATGCATGTTCTCTCATCCATCTACTTCCCAGAGTCTTATCCAACATTCAACCCATTCCAGGTTGAGTCCTTTGCTATACTGGCCTTCTCAGACTTGGTTCCCAAAATTACAGCCTGTACAGTTGTCATCACCATTATCTCTTTTTTTTGTCCAGTCCCTTTGCAAGAAGGTCTGGTCTTTCCACACGGGTAGCATCCAGTATTTCCCAATTGGTCCATCCTTCCTCATTATCCATGTATCAATGCAAATGGCATGTTTTTTGCCATTGATTACTCCATTGTGGCCTCATTCTTTCTTGCCCCACAATCCTTCACCTTTCCGGGTTCTTCACATGGCTGTCTGACAATGATTTTTCTGTGTCAACCATTGCTGGCTACCAGGTGGCCTTGTCCTCTATCTTCTGTTTTCCAAATTCTGCCATATATTTTCCTCTCCTGTCAACTCCCTTTTGTTTCATCCCTCTCTTCCACCAGACTGGAATCTGAATGTAGACCTACATGTACTCACCCTTTCCTCATTTGAGTCTTTGGCAGGTTATTCTCTGTACCACCTTTCCTTGAAAACCTATTTCAGCATCTTTTTAGCCTGTTGGCATTGTCGTTCAGATGTGTTATGCTATCAGTGTCTCACATATTATTTACCAGAGCACCTACATCATCCTCTACCCTGATAGGGTCTTTTTTCCCAAGACCTTGGCAGCTTATAAAGGTAATTTTGCATTGACCCCCTATTTCCCTACCCTCTTTCTCATTTGGATTCCCTTTCCCGATCTGGATTGACTCCTGTGTCCAGTCTGAACTTTACAATGTTATGTGGCATGCACAGCTTCCTTCTGCGATTCCCATTCCTAAATTTTGTATTCACTGAAATCCATCCATGTCCAGAGATCCTTCCCCAATTACCCTTACATGTTGGATTCGCCAACTTATCAATTTGGCTTATTCCTCATTATCCTTACATGACCGTCACCTTTTCCAGGTTTACTCTCACTAAATCCGTCATCTCACCATGTCCCTGGCTGCTCGTTTTCATCATCCATTGGAAGAGATCATCCGGGCTGACATATGGACCACTCCTTATACTTTCATTTCTCATTATGTACAACATTTAGCCATCTTCTTCTCCAACTGGATTTTGTCTGCTTCTTGTTGCAGTCTTACACCATTACGGTGCAGCTATAAGTGGGTAAGTTTACTTTTTACTTTTCAATATTTTTATTACAGGGTTTTTTCTGTTGCATCTTGTTGGATCCCACTCAGTGGTGAATGATCTATCCAGGTATACTAATTCTTAAATCCACACTGTACAGCCAATATGTTTATTAACACCCACTGTTGAGATGGGGTGATCCATAAGACTGCTTGTAGAATCTTCCTAGTAGGGTTTTGCATCATAAAAATGTATATTCTGGACTGCACACTAGTGTGACAAAGCAAAAGGGGATTGCTGCCCGTCCCTGCTGCTCCTTCGATTCAATAATTCGGGAGTGGTCTGATTTTAAAAATTAGGTTTTATGGTCACTCATTGCACTATTTCTGGACTCTCTAATGCATTCTCCCCTTTCTTCCATTGGAGTATGGGCGTCCTTACCATTTATTGGCTCCTAGCTGCTGAGGTTATGGGCCATGGAGACTTTCTCCTGAGTGTGCTCAATACCTCTCAGTTAAGAGTAGTGCAGTTATATTCTCTCAGTGTAGATGATGTAGAACCCCTCCTCCTACTGCGGACCAGACATAGAATACCTGATGCTGCATGGTCATGGACTGGAGATGATCCACCAAAATGCAGTTCACTGTCTGGCTGGGACCATCATCTCACTGCTGCATGGATGTTGGTTCCCAGTGGTATGATGTTCGATTATAGCTGGACCAGCCTACATAAGTCTTTGTGTGAGTGGGCTGGGACCCTCTTCCTACCACAGATTTGACAGTACATTCCCAGTGCCACATGGTTTTGGATTAGGTTGAACCTCCACAGTGAATTCCACCTTCCTACCATTGTTCGGATGTCTGTTGCTGGGAGGTACAGGTGTTGGTCGTGTTGGATATGCACACACAGTGACTTGGGTTCTCTTTCTCTTTTAGTTTCTGTGTCTGATATGAATGGTAGAGAACTTCCTTCCTACTGGTTTTGGATGGAGTTGATCTCCTGGTTACAATCTGACACACCTTAGCCATTCTACACCTTCCTCCTTCTAGGGACTGGACAAACCATTCCTAGTTCCTTTGGTTTTGGACTGGAGTTGACCTTCCATTTACAATTCGAATTCAGATGGTTTGGAACCCTTCTCTTACTAGGGACGGGAGGTTCCTTTCCCAGTTCCAATGGTTTGTGGCTGGAGTTGATCTTCCGACTATACCTGGGACATGTATAACTAATTCTCATATGTGCATCTTTGCTTCCACTTTTGTGACTTTTTCATATATCAAGGGAAAAGAATATACTTGGTTTAGATGTGGTG